ACCTGTAGTCCCAGTTACTTAAGAGGCTGAGGTGGGAAGATTGCTTAAGCCCGGGAGTTCGAGGAATTCATGCAGTGTACTGTGATTGAGCATGTGGCAAATTTTTGGATTATTTGCCTTTTAATTTAAACACTAAGAAAGACTGACCCAGTTTTCTCAGAACCTGTGTAAAATTGCTAAATACAAGCCACTAATCCATTTATCTCAGTTATCCTTTTTCCAGCGATCTAGTTATTAAATTAAATTTACAAATACACAGCTGGTAAGTGATACCCGCAGTAGGGATCTTTAATGGTAAATAATATGGCGTTCATTCAGTCTGGCACCTAAAAGATAAAATGGGAAGGAAAATGGTTACAAAAGAAGAAGACAGATCACTGATTTAAGAGTTTGTTTTTTAGTGAGAGAAACCAATATGAGATCCATTTTGTAGAAATATATCTTTTCTTTTTTTTTGAGACAGAGTCTCGCTCTGTTGCCTGGGCTAGAATGCTGTGGTGTCAGCCTAGCTCACAGCAACCTCAAACTCCTGGGCTCAAGCGATCCTTCTGCCTCAGCCTCCTGAATAGCTGGGACTACAGGCCTGCACCAACATGCCCGGCTAATTTTTCTATTTTTTTGTAGAGACAACTCCTGGCGTCTAGCAATCCTCCCATCTCAGCCTCCCAAAGTGCTAGGATTACAGGTGTGAACCACCACGCCCAGCCTTATTTTATATTTTCTGAAGCTTGTCCTATTTTTCAGAAATTGGTGATTTGTTTCTGCTATCTTCTATAAAACTAGATTTGAAATACATTTTAGTTTTTTTTTTTTTTTAAGGGTATTATGAGGGTACAAACATTAAGGTTACACTTTATGTCTTTGCCTCACCCAAGCAAGGGTTAGGGACATGCCCTTCCCCCCTACAATGCTCCCTGTGTCCTTTAGTTGCGGGTTACCCCCCCATCCCCCTAATCCCTGGAGAGTATTTCTGCCTTGTGAGCACCCTAGTGTTCATCAGTTAGTACCAATTCGATGGCGAGTACAAGTGGAGCCCATTCTTCTGATCTTGTGGTACCTCACTTTGGATAATGGGCTTAAGTTTAATCCAGGAAAGTATAAGAGGTGCTAGATCGCTGTCATTTCTTATGATTGAGTAATATTCCATTGTATACATATACCAAATGTTAATAATCCATTCATTAATTGACGGGCACTTGGGTTGTTTCCACATGCTTGGCTGCCATAAACGTTTGGGTGCAGATGTCTTTATCATAGGAATGTTTTTTGCTCTTTTGGGTAGATGCCTAATAGTGCTATTGCTGGATCAAATGGTATTTCTATTTTTAGCTGTTTGAGGAATCTCCAAATTCTTTTCCACAGAGGTTGCACTAATTTGCAGTCCCACCAAAAGTGTAAGAGTGTTCCTGTCTCTCCACATCCTCGCCAGCATTTGTTGTTTTGGGATTTTTTGATAGAGGCCAATCTCACTGGGGTTAGGTGATATCTCATGGTGGTTTTGATTTGCATTTCTCTAATGATTAGAGATGTTGAGCATTTTTTTTATATGTTTGCTGGCCATTATTCTGTCTTCTTTTGAAAAGCTTCTGTTCATTTCCTTTGCCCATTTGTTGATGGGGTTGTTTGATTTTTTCTTATTGATTTTTTTGAGTTCTAGATAGATTCTGGTTATCAGCCCTTTATCAGATGTGTAGAGAGCAAATATTTTCTCCCATTCTGTAGGCTGTCTATTTGCTCTAATGATAGTTTCCTTGGCCGTGCAAAAGCTTTTTAATTTGATCAGATCCCATTTGTTTATTTTTGTTGAACAGCAGAGATCTTTATACAAACTCCTAATAGATGCCAAATACTTTATTGAAAGACGCATAATTCCTGTTATTATAATTTAGTAGCTTTCTATGTAAGGTCTTAACTTGAATCCTTAACACCTTTAAGAATGCATCTTGAGCTGGTGGCTGAGCCCTCACTGAGGAAGAAGCTATGCTAATCTGTCCTTGATGAGGCTTCATTGATTACCTGAGATGAAGAAAATTCATAATAACCACTTCACTTAGTGCTTATGGGAAGCTTTATTATAGCTAATATTCTTTAACTTAATAATTTCTAAAATGTATAGTTTCTGATTTTTTATAACCTTAAGCTTGAAATTCCTGCAAAGGGATAAAAGAAGAATTTACTGGAGTTCCTTTGTTTTGAATCAGAAAGTCAGGGCTCTTTACTAATGAAGACATTTTTAACCCGTTATTTAAATGAACTCCTTCGTGCTTTATAATGCTGCTGTCTAATGATCATTGAAAAAATTTGATGGTACTGCATTAATGCAGTACTTGACAAGATGACCAGTCTATATTAGCTTTCAGTTTAATTTTCAGATTATTTTAAGTGAAAAGTAAGTGGCTGTTAGTAAAATAGAAAAGATTAAATTCTTTTGTTCTTCAGAGAATCTTTCGGTATAAATTACTTTTTTATAAAGAAATTATTTTAATTATCTTGTATAGAAGAAATTGCTATTGCTCTCTCATAGTAATGTGCTTTATAGTACTTTTGCAGGCAATATGGGGACATACACCCTCTTTTATCCCTATATTGTGTATGTCAGTTGTCATGACATGGCTTATGCCATAGGTGTGCAATTACAATGGTTGAAATTGTGCTGCTTCAACTTCCCTGCAAAACATCAACCACAAAAACTGAAAACCTGTTCAATCTTACTAGCCTAATATACTAATATTCTGCATATGTGTAATTGTGTTTGTTTTTATTTATATCAACTCTGCCTCATCCATAAAAGGATCAGGGCTACTTCATGATGATTTTTCATTGTTGTTTGTTTGTTTGTTTGTTTTTATCCTTATTTTTTGAGACAGACTTTCACTTTGTTGCCCTGGTAGAGTGCGGTGGCATCATCATAGCTCGCAACCTCCAACTCCTGGGCTCAAGCGATCCTCCTGCCTCAGCCTCCCAAGTAGCTGGGACTACAGGCACATGCCATGATGCCTGGCTAATTTTTATATTTTTGTAGAGAGGGAGTCTTGCTCTTGCTCAGGCTGGTCTTCAACTCCTGAGCTCAAGCAATCCTCCCGCCTTGGCCTCAGAGCCCAGTGATTACAGGCGTGAGCCACCATGCCCAGCCCATGATGATGTTAAACCAGCATTAAACTATCTTAAACTATCTTAAAACTATCTTATAGTTTTAAAAAAAAGAATTTAGTATTTGAACTTTGTGGAAGCTGACAGATGGCATAACATATTTAAATAGTAGAGAAAAATGGTATAATTAAAAGAATACTTAACTGGGAGTCTGGAAACCATGTTTTGTATCTCACTGCCTTATTAACTTGGTGTATGATTCTTAGTATATTACCTTATTTCTCTGGCTTAGTTTTCTAATTTGTAAAGTGATCCCTCAGATTATTAAGTGATAGAGTGAATAATTAAAATTAGTATCATATTCTTGAGAAGATAAAGCTTCAGAGAATGTAGAGTACGTGAGTTCAGAGGGGAAGAATCTAGCAGCAGGTTCACCTAGGGGGCCTGACATATACTGAGGCCCTGCACAAGGGGCCTGTGTGAGGGGATGAATGGGACTGAATTCCAGCTTGGCTTCTGGAGGCAAAAGTGCCCTTTTGTAATTCATCCACCCAGAGGGGATGTCTTTATCTAATTTGCATAAAGGAGTCTGAGATGCTGTCTTGTCCACCAGGTTTAGGTTTCATCTCAGTCGCCAACTCTGGTCAGTTGGTGGTGACTGCCTGAATCCTGTGTGGTGTAAGATATCTGCGGGTAGTGGTGGGAGTAGGCAGAGGTATGTGCTTGTTGACTCTTGAGTCTTGAAGTTGTTAATGGTTTAGAATGTAGCTGGGAACATGTCAGTTATTTTGCAGTGTTTGAGAGTGCAGGCTCAAGAATCAGACTGAGTAGAATTTCCAGCTTTTCAGTTTTCAGTTTTGTGACTTTGGGCAACCTGTTAGTTTCTCTAAACCTCTGTTCCTTATTTATAAAGTGGAGATAATGATAGTTCTTGCCTCAGAATCCTTGCAAGAATTAAATGAGCAAATATGTTTAAAGTACAGGATAGACATAGCGCTTGGAACATAACTAGCACTCAGTCAATGTTAGCTTTCACTGTAGTGATTGCTGTTTATTGTACATGAATGTCCCTTAGTGTGTCATACCCTAGTGTCTGCCTATTCAGCCTCTTTTCTATTGAATTCTTTCTATTTGCATTCCTGTCTTTCTCCTGCATTATTGCAATAGCTTCCTATGCTGTCTTTTCACTCCTAATTGAGAGAAATCCTATTAGATGGTCCTAAATTTCTGAATAAGGTAGGTATAATATAAAGCTGTCTGTTGAAATTAAGGGGAAACTAGAGAACAAAAAATGAAAAACGTGTAAAACAATTCCATTTATTTCCAGACTTTACTTGAAGCCACTGTGTCAGTATTTTAGGCAAAATTCTCACTGGTTTGTTTCTCTGAGCTCCCAACTCATGAGAGATTAGACAGAACAAATTTTAAAAGTTATGCTGGTAAGTACACTAAATGACCCATTAGTGAAGTTGGAAGATACACAGAACTACTAAATTTGACACAAAAGATGATAAAAAGGCGTATGAATTTAGGTAAAATTAATGCAGGATAAACAGTCTTATGCCTAAATAGCACTGTTAAGGCAGCAGTTGACAGCTGATGTTCATGATTATGACCTTGTGCCATCAAAAGTCAATTTAAATTTTATTTGGTATATTGTTTTTATAAAAAAGGAGAGTATGTGATTATTTTAAGATTTTCATGAAAATGGTTATGACTTTAAAAAAAATCTTTTAGAAACTTAGTAAGGTTTATATATTTGGAAATTCTCTTATATGAAATACTTCATGCTTGTTTGAATAAAGAATTACTATAGTGAGAAACAAAAGATGATAGCTTGAGAGATAAATGACAACACATAATTGTTGCTTGAGTTACATTAATATGCTTTATGGTGGTTTTTTTGACAGATTGTTTAACGAACAACAGTGAAGAACTATCAAACAGCACAGTAAATTTCCTCAGTCTATTCAATCACACCTTGACCTGCTTTGAGCATAACCTTCAGGTATTTTATATGTGATATGTGAAATTAAACTGCTGCCTTGTACAAATGAATAATACGTAGTTCCAAGTTTTTATTGCATTAATTGTTGATAAATTTATCTATACCCATGATGTAGAGGAGTTAGTAGACCTGGATTTCTGCTTGTAAGTTCTTGTACTTACAAATCATTAAAAATTTCAGTTCTCTCATTTATAAAGCAGTAAAATATCTACCCTGCCTATCTTCAAGTATTTTGTAGTGAGGATCTGGTGAATGTCAAAACATTAACTGAGGTGTGTGATTATTTAATTAAAACACAACATTGTTCAATCTGACAGTAGTTTACCTTGACTTTGTTTATGTGATAATAAAGTATTTTGCTGTGCAGTATGATTCCGTCTACAGGAAGCCTATTCTTTGCCTCAATATTTGCTTAAATATATTTTATCTACTCTAAAAGACACTTTTTTAGTAAGGTAACTTTGAGTATTGAATTATTAATATGATATAAAAGGTAGCCTTTAAGAATCTTACTTTTGTAGATTTTTGTTGTCTCCATCTCTGACTCTTCAATTTTGGTATTGGAACTTACCTGGTGGGAATGAAGGATGAGATTGGAACTCTGGTAAAATTGTAGTTTTGAAACTTACGTAACAAGTAAATAATCTTCCCAAGGAGATGTAAACATGTTTAGGATATAAGCATATATGATTTCCTCTTTAATAAATGTGATAACACAGAATTATGTATTTCCTTGAGATTAATAAAAATTAGGTGAACATTTCTCAGAATGTGTTCTGCAGCATGTTAATAGATGGCTTATCAAAAAAGGGTTTAGTATTCTATTAAGGTTGGGAAATGCTTTACTCCAGGACTTCACAACCTTTAGTGGACTAATGCATGTTGTAAAACTCAAATGGTAATTTTTGTATATAGTAATCACCCCTTTATCCATGGTTTCTCTTTCCACAGTTTCAGTTACCCATGGTCAACTGCAGTTGGAAAATATTAAATGGAAAATTCTGGAAATAAACAATTCATAAGTTTTAAATTGAGCACCATGGACAGCCTTTTTTCATATAACTTGGAGTACTTGTATGAGTTTGTTTGGTGGATTCCTAGAAATGTAATTGCTATATTGTCAACTTAAGAAAAAAATACTAGAGAAAATTATCTCCAAAATAATTGAGTTTACTTGGGAATGACAAATGCGGATTATTTTGGAATGCACTGGCAAGCCATCAGTGCATCTGGTGAAGGAAGGGTAAAAGAAAGTGTTATTAGCAAAAAGGGAGAGGTTCACGTAAGCTACTTAGAAGCAGAGTTCATTGGTTCCAGAGGCTCAAAGCCAGAGTTGTCGTCAGTTCATTGGTGGAGATTCTGTTACTGGGCAAGTGCTCTTTCAAGCGAATCTTATCTGAATTACTGCAGTCCTAAGGAATGTCAGTGATAAACCTTGTCAAAGGAGATTTGAAGGAGGACATGAAAGGGTTTCTCTTGGGTGGGTTTTAGAAAGTCCTTAGAAACTGTTCCTGTCTTAGACATGTAAGCATGAACCTCTTCTGTGCCTTCCTCACCCTATTTTTTCTGGGTCTGAAAAAAGTTATCCTGGTATCTGCAACATTCACATTATCAAAAGATGGGTGCATTTGTAATTTTAATAAAAATGGATAAATTACTCCCCACCAAAATGATGCACTCAATTTTGACTTTAAATGCATAATTGTTCTGTGAAAAATAGGCAATCGGCTATTCCTTGTAGCAGACTAAAGGGAGACTTAGTTTTTCTGATAGATGGTGAGGATAACATTGTACAGGCTACATCAGTTTAGTTATTTTGATTTTCCTCTTTTCTCTTTCATTTCAATGTTGAGTTACTGTCCTTTCTCCATGCTACAAAGTAAAGAATAAAGGGAATAGCAAGCAAAGGTGAGAACTGACAGTTCAGCAAACTTGTTCTTGAAAAGACAAGTGTCAGACTAGACATAGAAAAAATTGAGATTTTCTAGTATAATATTTTATATGTTATCTTCTCTATCCTCATTGTTTTTTTTTTTTTTTTTTTTTTTGAGACAGAGTCTCACTGTGTTGCTTGGGCTAGAGTGAGTGCCGTGGCGTCAGCCTAGCTCACAGCAACCTCAAACTCCTGGGCTCAAGCGATCCTCCTGCCTCAGCCTCCCGAGTAGCTGGGACTACAGGCATGTGCCACCATGCCCTGCTAATTTTTTCTATATATTTTTAGTTGTCCAATTAATTTCTTTCTATTTTTAGTAGAGATGGGGTCTTGCTCTTGCTCAGGCTGGTATCGAACTCCTGAGCTCAAACAATCCGCCTGCCTCGGCCTCCCAGAGAGCTAGGATTACAGGTGTGAGCCACCGCACCTGGCCACCTCTATCCTCATTTTACGTTACATAGTTCTTTGGTGTTTGCCCCTTTTTGTTGATTAGAAAGGCTGGATTATGAACCTGTGATTAGAGAATTGAGTGGGGATGTAGTTTTGGGGCCTTTTCCTTTCCCATTAAAAATGTCTGGTCTTAATAAGACAAACTATGGTGTTGAAGTCAGCCTAGGCAGGAACATATTTTATTTATTCAGTGAGAGTAGTATAGATAAGTACAAATAAGTAATGACAAGATAGTTTAGGAAATTTGGTATTTTAGTTACCAGTAATTTGGCATATGAGCTAGTGTTATCCTGCAACATTGGCTAGTGCAGTGGTTTTCAAAATCTAGGGGTACCTAGAAAGTGCCAAATATTTTGCCATGTTCTTCAGATACCAGGTTTCTAATCCTTTGGTATACCCCTACCTATAATACAGGTAGAGGTAGACCTATTTTGTAGACGATAAAAGTGAGACTCAGAGTGATTTAGTAACCTGTCCAACATCACAGCTCAGCACTTTAACACACCATATTGTTTCCTGTCTTCTAGGAGGGCGAATAGCTTACATTAAAGAGAGGTATTGTGTATAATGTTTATTGTATGTATTACATGTGCCTTTATCATTTTAGGGTAGTGCACATAGTCTTCTACAAACAAAAAATTATTCAGAAGTATGCAAAAACTGTCGTGAAGCATACAAATCTCTGAGTCGTCTGTACAATGAAATGCAAAAAATGAATGAACTTGAGAATAAGGCTGAACCTGGAACACATTTATGCATTGATGTGGAAGATGCAGTAAGTACTTTGCTTCTGTTATGACGTATTTCTCAGTGTTGTTGAATATACCTTCAGTATTATTATCCTTTATGGAAGTATGTTGGAACTGCATAGTCTCTCTTCAACCAGAAATAACTAGTTATAAAATAGTAAACTTTAAGCATATCCTGGTCTGTCAAACTAAAATGGAAATTAATCAGGTACTTCATAAGTGGTTTGATAATTTGAAAATGTGTACCATTTTCAGAGGTGTGGGCATTGTTATATTTCAGTTTCTTGTATACTTGTTACTGATTTAAGAAGTTTCTAGGTTTTACTATAGTGTGTTTCAGAGGCCATTCCTCAATAACTTCCTATTCCATTGCTTTATTTCTTTATATCTGTTACCATCTGAAAATATTTATTCATTTATAGCCTTTCTCCCCTCTCTAAAATATAAGCCACATGAGGACAAAGACCTAGGATTTTTTGTTTACCATTCAGTATTTAGGACAGTTCCTGGTATATAATGACCTTAGCGAATATGTATTTATTGATTGAATGAATGGTCAACAAAAACCATTTTTCTCCATTGTATAGCCTGCCTTTACATGGGGCACCACTAGATGGCAATCATGTCTTTTTAGGCAATATGATGCCTGGGTATTGTGTTTGTTAGAGGTAACTGAGACATTATGGACTCAGAGTAGAGAACTTGAGGTCAAAATTGGTAAGCTTAATGGTTGAGAATAATGAATGTGAATTATCACAGCAGCTCAGTGGAATAATAATATTCAGGATGGTAAAAAGCACTTAAAATGTATGCACCATGAGGACTTTTGTTTGTTTTTACTGCTCCATTCCTGTTGCCTAGAACAGTACCTGGTTTCTAGTAGGCCCTCAATAAAAAATATTCTTTAATGAAGAATACAGAGTATAGCTGTATTTCTATTGATACAAGTTCTCTGTTTGAAAGCTACGAATGGTTGACATTCTAGAATTGGTCAGTATTATGAATTTAGAATATCAAATTTCTATATGGATATATTAATAAATTTATATAATGACTAATTGTGAACCATCTTATTTCCCTGGCAGAAGAGATTGTCTTGAACTATCAATAGATTTTTAGGGGTGTGTATTTAGTCTAAATTCTAGGTGTCTATTTAGATATTGACAAAATAATTATAAGAAATTGATGGCAAGTTAAATATAAAATAGAATAATATTATTTGTTCTTGTTCCAGATGAACATTACTAGAAAACTGTGGAGTCGAACTTTCAACTGTTCGGTCCCTTGCAGTGACACAGTACCCGTAATTGCTGTTTCTGTGTTCATTCTCTTTCTGCCTGTTGTCTTCTACCTTAGTAGCTTTCTTCACTCGGAACAAAAGAAACGCAAACTCATTCTACGTAAGTTTCTTTTTATAGTTATTTATTTATTTAGATAAAAGCCTGTATTTTTAAAATTTAGGCCAGTTTTAGAAATGACATAAACTCTGAGAACTCAAAGTACATTAGTCTAAAATGGCTCTCTGCTTTCAGTTTTACAGTCATGCTTACTAATGAAAAAGATGTGTGAGAATTTTATAAGTGCAGATAATCAAAAATCAAAAGATAGCATCTTTCAGATGATTGAGTTGAGAAAGCTAGATTACTCCAGCAATAAATTTAGCAACAACAGAGGAATAGCAGCAGAGGCTTTGCACTCCTGACATGGCAATAGAGGGGAGCTATAGACAGCTCATAGGCCCATTGGAGTCATGGTAGAACCACCTAAAAGCATGGCAGGCAGGAAGAATCCATAGCTAACAGGCAGACAGTTTGTTTTGAACAAATTGGAATTGCAGTTACAAGAATGTTACTTGATGTATAGTACATATCACTTCCTTTTCTTTTTCCCCATGAAACAGGGCAAAGCAAAAGCAGCACTAACTAGAAGATCCCATCTAGCTAAAGAAGAGTGGCTTCTAAGTCACATGGGTTTCTTGTTTATTATCAGAATGAAAGCACGGACTCATCCCTTAGCAATTTCAGTTTTTAAAAGAGAATATTTTTGGGGAAAAAAGTTAATCTTTTTTTCTCTCAAATATTATTCGTAGTCCAGGAATCTATGGCATAAAAATTCTCTCCCCTGTAAATTTCTTTCTAGCACTTCTTCATCCAATTTCACTTCTAATCTATCTAGCTTTTAAAAAAAGGTTACTTGTAGGTCAGCTTGAACTGAATTTGTAATGTCTCCTCACCTTATAATGCCAGCTCCTAGAGGGGAGAGTCTTTGTCATGGGTGTATTTAGTAAAGCTTTTTGAAGGTTGCTAGCATTCTGTAAATATGTAAAAGCTCAGTCCTTAAAAGCATTTATTTAGAACAACAGCAAAATATTGTAGGGATCTCACTATTGAGAAACTTTACTTTTCAGGGTTGGTGTACTTTGAAAGTCTAACATCTTATTTGCCTTGCAAATCTGTTTAACTTTGTGGAAGATACTTCCTGCTGCTGATCAGGGTTTTTTGTTTGTTTATTTTTGCAGTAAAAGTCACCTCCAGTGTCACTATCTGCTGTGCAAGCCATAAACTTTGCAGTCATTTTCTTAATTCTTTTCTTTCTTTTTATTTTTCTGTTCCCACAATCCCCTCCCCACTTTCAAACTTGTTAGCAAGTATGCTGACAGCCCTACTTCTACCTCTTTCATTGTTTTTTTCTGTACCCCCACTGGCAAACGCTAGCCTAGGCCATCATCACCTCTTATCTGTACTAATGCAGGAGCCCCTTAAGTGGTATCCCTGCTTCCACTCCTTGATCTACTAAAATTCATACTCCATATAGTGGCTACTGTAATTTTTTAAACACAAATAATTTTACCATGTTTCTCTGCCATTTGAAACCCTTCATGGGTTCCTGTTGTACCTAGAATAAATCCAATGTTACTTCCAGGGTCTGCTCTCTGGCCCAGATCCACCTTTCTAAACTTACTACATCTACTTTCCTGCTTGCTCCTGCTGCTCTGGGCAGGCTGGCTCCTTTCCCTTCCTCTCAAATACCAAGCTCATCCACACCGACCCCTTGCCAAGGCCCTTCCCATTTTCCTAACCTGGCTCCTTGCCACACAGGTCTTAGCTCAAAGGTTACTTGCACAAAGAGACCTTTTATGATCTCCCAATCTAAGAATATACCTTTCCTTGCATTCTTCTGCAAGGAAAGAATACATCTTATTTCTTTAATGGCATTTAATCACTTAAACTAACTTAAGTTAAATAATTTAAGTTATTTCAATTAACTTTTTCATTTATTTTCTGCCTTGTTTGTCTTCCCTGACTGGACTGTAAGCTCCATGAAAACAAGAATTTTGTTTATCTTTGTTCATCACTGTATCACCAACATCTGGAAAGTGCCCGGCCTATTGTAGGTGCTCAAAGATATTTGTTGAATAAAAGAACATTATACATAATGTTAGCATTTCCTAGAGTATGTTCCTCAAAATACTAGTCCTATGAAATTCTCTGTGAAAAAAAATTTGCGGAATATTAAGATTGGGAAATGCTTCATATCATATCCTTTTCATGAGCTTTGTAAGGTATACAAATATAAGTTAAAGGCTCTGAGATTGCAAGTTCCGAAACTTGACAGTAGAACCTTTGCATAACACCTATTAATGTTTCACAGAAACATTGTTTACAAAACTCATTTAAGGAAATGCTAGTACTGTGTAAGCAAACATTTCTTGTGCGGGTACTTCATGGACATTTTCATTTACTTTTCTTTGTGCCACCATTCATCAAGCAGTTATTGAATGCCTGCCAAATGCTAGTACTGTGGTAGGAATTAGGAATTTAAATAAGGAACAAGGTATAATCCATGCCCTCAAAGAACACACGACCATAATGTAATTATTAGAACCCATGTTGTAGAGGTATATAGAGTATGGTTGGGCCACAGAGGAGGGTAAGACTAACTCTGCATTGGGGATGTTGGAATTCACCATTAGATGATTTTAAAGAATATAGGGATTTATCAGGTAGAGAATAAAGAGATAAGGAAGTTGTAGGTGTGTGTACTCATTGGTATTGCTACCTAGTCTGTTGATTAAGTAATTTGATAATTAGTAAAAAGCTAGATTGCTTCTAGTAATTTTTAACAGAGTAATTTAAAAAGCCCCTAAAACTATTGATTTAGTTTGCTTCCCAAATCTACTGAAAGCTTAAAAAGTAAACTTTTAGTTTAGGCCATTTTTATTTTTTAGTTTAAGTTTGCCCTTTAGTTTAGGCTGAAGCAGTACACTGGTCCAGGAAGTCATGTTGTCATTTTGCACTTACAGTTGGGGTCAGGGGAGACCCTGATAGAAACCAGAGCAGTGGTTCTCATCCTTGGCTACAAATCAGAATTATTTTGTAAGGCTTTAAAAAAAATACAGGTGCAGACCTTCCAAATCATAACTAGGAATCTCCCTACCCTCTGAAGTAGGGAGATTCCTAGTTAGCCAGTGTAAGATACTCTCACTATGGCACAGTTGGTTTTCATTTCTAGAACACAAAAAATATTCGTATTTAAGTATAAAATATGTTACCAAGCCAAATAGCCATGATTTGTTTGAACCTTAATGACTCAGTCCCATAAGCATCAAATCAAAATTGATTGTAACAAATTTTGTTAGCAGCCATATATGTTTGTGTGTATGTGTGATATACAATTCATTTTTCTTTAAAAGTCATTCAAATTTTTTTTTTACACTGTAGACTTCTTTCACAGAATTTTTTTTTCATCTGAAACCAGAAGCTGTTTTATTTCTTTCCTTCCAATATATACACTTTTCCTTTTCTTCTTCTCACCTTATTGCGCTGGCTAAATTGGTGGCATGATGTTGAATAAGACCAGATATTGTCTTGTTCCGGATCTTTGGAGGAAACCATTCAGTCTTTCACAGTTAAGCATGATGATTGCTGTACAATCTCTGTAGACACCGTTTATCAGATTGAGAACGTTTTCACTGATTTCTTTCAAGAGAAATTTAGATTTGGATTTCTAACTTAGACTTTTAATTGTACAGTTTTGTTATTGTTCTTTATAACACTTTCATTTTCTAAGTAGATTACTTTTACCTACATTACATACTTAAGATTGTGATGTTTAAGAAGATATAAATAGTGTCGTTTTATTTGGTACTGCTTCTAACAAATCATGTGCAGTTTCTAACAAAGTTATGTTTTTTGAGGTTTGTAGTAAAAATACACTTAGGTTTTAATTCTTAGGAGATTGGATCTATTCAGATTCAAACAGAACTAATAGACAAATATTATAGTTTACATTAAAATAATAAATAATCATGTTTAGAGAATTAAATTTAAGTTAAAATATAATACTTTTGATTTATTTAGCCAAGCGTCTCAAGTCCAGTACCAGTTTTGCAAACATTCAAGAAAATTCAAACTGAAACCTACAAAATGGAGACTTGACACCGTACCATATGAATGAATGGTGGAAGACACAGCTTGGTCAGAAAGAAGATAAACTGTGATTTGACAAGTCAAGTTCTTAAGAAACGCAAGGACTTCAGATTTATTTTCAGATAAAAATTTTTCAATTTTTCTTTCCTTTTCCACCCCCCTTTTTAAGGACTTGGGTATTTTTAATTTCCATTCATAGCAATGTTGTTTATTTTAAAGTGTATTTGTTACAATAACAGAAGATGCAAGAACAATCTTTGTTTTGTAGACATATTATTACTATTTGAAATTTCTGGCATCTCCTTATTACGTAAGTATCTCAAGTAGAAAAGTTTTGGAAAATTAACATTTAAAAATTAATCAGTTACAGCAAACACTTTGAAAAAGAAATATACTTGCCAAAAGTTAGAAGGTCCAAAGATTAATTTAAATTACTCCTCATTGCAGTATTACTGTTACATACATATTTAGTATGTCGTACATTATAATAATATGTAATCCAATCTCTTGTTTCTCTAAAGTCATTTTTGAAACCACTAACTACAAACCTCCCTAACAATTTTTAGAAGTGGTAAGCCACATTACATTTATCTTTTTAAAAAGATTTATGGTAACTGGTTTCTTACTTGACTTTTATAAATAGTATTTTGCATCTTATTTTTGCCTTTATTTCATAAGTAATTTGAAATCACTGGACTGCTTTGTTATATTCAGGGCAAGATGGATTCTTTTTATACCAGGGTTTTGCATTGTGAATTACATTAAGTTATTTGGCAATTTATAATTTATTACTACTTTAAATCAACTGTAGCATTATCACACTGTATTTAAATTGTGATTTTTTAAATGAAGTTTTTCTCTTGGGATACATAGGGATTTGGGAGAGAGAAAGGAGGCATAAAAAAAGCTTGAGGTTCAGAAAATAGGCAGGGTCCTGAGAGGATACTCACTATAAGGCTCTTGAGCTGTTCATATTGGGGGTGTGAATCAGAATGATAGTCTCATACAGAAAGCAGTTAGATTAAGATGATTCTTATTTTTTTCTAAATTATTTAAATCAGATAAAAGTGATAAGATTGAAATAAAATCACATATTTCACTCTCAGAAAACAAATTCTATTTTGGAATGTTTGTATTAGCCCCTAAAAACACATTTCAGAATTGTTCACAATTTTATTTCTCAGGTTTTTGGAGTTCAGTATTTCACTTATTAATTCCTTCTTGCTTTCTTGGTGGAAATGGGCTTTGTTTTCAATATTAAGACTATAAAGCCTCCTCTGTATGGAAACAGAGTTCGGTTAAATAGTAAGAGAATCTGAATCTCTTCGTATACTGTAAAATGCTCTATAGAGAGACAAGAAAGTGTTTTTATTATTTTTTTATGTTTACCATATACACAGAGTGAAAGAGAAGGCTCATCCTTGGATGTGTAACATATCCAAAAGCTGTTACAGTTTCTCTGGTCTGCTGTGATCCATTAAAAATGTGCTGGAGTTTGTTCATGCTGCTGATACATATAGCACTATCTTGATTTGAAGCATATGTTTGAGAGCCTTTGAAAGCAGTCTTCATTAATGCAGATAAAACCAGTTTACATGTGCAAAGTTAGAAAATGACATGTTCGATTCTGTAAGTAGTGACTTTTTGAGCACCTTTCAATATTATGTATTTGTAAAAACCATTGTTTTTGAATATAAGGCTAATAAGCACTTTAAAAAAAAAAAGGCCACCTTTACTATTTTTCTGGTTGGGTCATTGCTCTTTAGAAGTAGCATCAGCAGTAGATTTCAAAAGTAAGTATTAAGCGCCACACTAAAGTGTGTAAATATTTCATTTTGTAGTCATATTGAAAAATTCTTTGCATAGTTCTGAATTCTGAGATACATAGCATATATGTATGCACAAGACTGTCTTAAGTTTCTTTGACACCTTAAATAAACGAAATAACTTAAGGAAATTGCAATGCTGTATTTGAATTTTTAAATACATTTTGAATACTTCAGTTGTAATTTAACATCACATTTCAGCTTTCCAGGTTTTGAGTTTAAATGCTTACTTTAAAAGAACTGTTTATCTTAAATTTTGCTGTAAATAAAAATGTACTTTTGGATAATTTATTTTTTGTTGGATTTGAGAGGTAAAAATAACATCAGATATTTTACACTGTAGCTCCAAATCAATGAATAACACCAGAGTTTAAGTGGTAAATGTTATTTCTGTTGGGACTAGTATTGTCTGATGTTTCATGGGCTCTACTTTTTACCGTAGTATACTCCTTATAAAGTGAAATGTTTTCCCAGAACAACATTGTAGTTAGGATTGAATTCCTGACCAAAGACTTGATATCAAATAAGTAATAGACATCACCAGCAATGAATTTTGAAAGCAAAAAATACTATTAATCTATGTGTCCAATTAAAATGGAAAAAATTATGTTCCTAGTACCTACATTTTCTGAGCCTTAGAGGCCATCTGATCATAGAATCCCAGTGCTGGATGGGTCCCTAGAGAGCACCTAATCTGACCTTCTACCCACTGCATGGATTCCTCTAAAAAGTGTGTCACTTATTTCCCTGTCTTCTTAACTACATTGTAGAGCTCTTTATATATAATAGCCATTCTTTGATAGTCAACTTTAAAATTCAGACTTGAGATGCCTAATCAAATGTTCTTTCGACTGTACTACTCTGCTTGTTAAAATTATATAAAATGATTAGATTGATTACAAAAAAGGGCTTTGACCTATGTTGAATTACATGTAGCACCTAAAAGTTACAACTCTATCAAATTTGTTTGTTCTAAACTATTATATTAGTTATGATAAATATTAGTCATACATGTAACATGTTTAATGACCAATAACTTTGTTTCCTTGGAATTAAAGAGGGCTTTTAAAAGATAATTTGATCTATGCTTCTCAAGGTGTGGATGTTTTCAATAATGACTTTTAAAATCTGTTTTTCCTATGATAAACAGAGGTATTTAAGAAAAATCTATCCCTCGCCGGGCATGGTGGCTCATGCCTGTAATCCTGGCACTCTGGGAGGCCGAGGCAGGCGGATCGTTTGAGCTCAGGAGTTTGAGACCAGCCTGAGCAAGAGCGAGACCCCGTCTCTACTAAAAATAGAAAGAAATTGGCCAAACAACTAAAAATAGAAAAAATTAGCCGGGCATGGTGGCGCGTGCCTGTAGTCCCAGCTACCTGGGAGGCTGAGGCAGGAGGATCGCTTGAGCCCAGGAGTTTGAGGTTGCTGTGAGCTAGGCTGATGCCATGGCACTCTAGCCCAGGCAAGAGAGTGAGACTCTATTTAAAAAAAAAAAATCTATCCCCATACCCAAATGGAATCAAAATATTTCAAACCTTTAAAAGGCATAATAGGCAGATTTTAGCTAGATATTGTGGTAACTCCTTCATTGTCCTACTTAAATACTCAGGATTATATCCAAAAGATTTGCCCAATAGCATTGCAAGTGAAAAATAATTCAGTTGTAATTTCTGGGTTAATTGTATACAACTAAAGTATAAATAGGCAGGACTGAAAATCATTAGCTGCTTGTCCTGTTTTGATGTCTGAAACCGAAAAGTGTAGAAGGTAGAAGAAGGCTTCTGTCACTTTATTGTGTATCTTTAGAGGCAGAGCCCCACAACAGAAAGCCTTGCTGCCATTCCTTTTCCAGAGAGGACCAGAGTTATTTCTTCTCTTTTCTCTCTCTCCTCTTAGTACCTCATTTCCTACATTCATTTGTAGTGCTGTTGCCAGTAACATAATAGGAGCTGAGATACAAAGAGCTTGACCTTGGCTTTTTGAAATCCTCTTTATATCTTGGCTGTCTTCCACTAAATAAGGCACAGTGTTTATTTGTATAACCCAGGGACTGTTATGATTCAAAATCCAACACACATATCCATATTCATGTTCTCTCTTATTGCTTTTCTCCTATGGGGTTGGAGAATTAATAACTGTGGCATGGGCAAACAACTAGCATAAGGATAGCATACAGGCGGTAGGTGGGCAAGGAGAATCTCCAGATTGAATTTCCACTCTCCTCTCTCATACTTTCATCCTGTGATTGCTGAATGTATAAATAAGAGGGACCTAGGGGTGGCAATCTATATGGAAAAGGGGAGTCGAGGGTCACTTGTCTTGAAGTGGTGTATGCATAGCAAATTCACTGTGTATTATTAGATTGTGTATTTGCTAGAAAAAGCTTTGGGGAAATGATGGAGATTATGGAAAGGGCTAAAGTTCTGCTTGACCTTGCGCTGCTTGGCATACTTTGTCCACAATCCGTTCAGGTCTTACTTCTTCCTCCAATCCAACATCTCAGATAGGAGGAGCATGAAATGGGTGTTTAGCTGCTTCAGCCCCTCCTTCTGGGTTTCTGTCCTCTGCATCAGGCGATTCTTTGTTTACTTTTTTCTTCCTATTTCTTAACATCACAATAGATGAAATCATAGAAACTATCCTTTGTAGTTTGACTATTGTCACTGAATCTGCATTTAATCAAAGACATTCTATGTCTTTGAAACAGGGGGAGATAGGTGCTTGGATGGGCACTGCCATTTTGCTTGTAACCAACCCCACCATGCTGAAAGTGATTTGGAGAATGCAGTCTCTGACCTAGTCTGGCTCTGGAAAACCCTTTTTGGCTTATTGATGCTCTGATTTCAAAAAACATACTCACATCACTTTGGCTCTCAAGTCCAATTACCTTGCATCTGAGCCCTAATAATTTACTTTTTTTTCTGTAATGCCACCATCTTTATTCTTAGCTCTAGCCCCATTAGCCTCACCAATACCAAGATTTCAAGTGACCTGATAGGAAGGATTGTGGTAAAGTCTAAGTTTTTTAATACTTTTCTTTCTTTCTTTTTTTTAATATTTTGGAGTAAATTATTTTATTTTTTTTCTGTCTTTTAGTAGAGCCAGGGTCTTGCTTTTGCTCAGGCTGGTCTCAAACTCCTGACCTCAAGCAATCCTCCTGCCTCAGCCTCCCAGAGTGCTAGGATTACAGTTGTGAGCCACTGAGCCCAGCCAGTTTTCTAATACTTTAAAGAAATTACTCCATTGCCTTCTGGCTTGCAGAGTTTCTGATGAGAGTTCTGATGTAATTCTTAATTTTGTTTGTCTATATGTAATGTTTTTGTTTTTGTTTTTGTTTTCTGGCTGCCTTCAAGATTTTCTTTTAATTTTTGAGTTTCAGCAGTTTGACTATGATATGTCTGGATGTGTTTTTCTTTGTAGTTATTCTGCTTGGGATTCTCTGAGCCTCTTAGATATGTTTGTTGTCTTTCATTAATTTTAGAAAATTCACAGCCATGATACCATCAAATATTCTTCTGTTCTATTCTCTCTCTTCTGTGGGACTCCAGTTAGATCTGTTAAACCGTTCGATATTGCCACACAGCTCTATTGGATGGACTGTTCTCTTTTATGCACTCTTTTTTCTCTTTGTGTTTCAGTTTGGATAATTTCTGTTGACCTACTTCAGGGTCACTCATTCTCTCTTGCACTGTGTTCAGTCTGCTGATAAGGCTGCTGAAGGGATTCATCTGTTTATGCCTGCTGCCTACCTATTCCACTAGGCCCTTTAGCATTGTAATCGTAGTTATCGTAAACTTTCTAGCTGATAATATCAATATCTGGGTCATCTCTGGATCTGGTTCTGTTGACTACTTTATCTCTTAATGGGTCATTTTTTTTCTTGCTTTTTTAAATGTCCTATGATTTTTGATTGGATGTCAGACATTGTGTGTTAAAGGACAGTAGGAACTAGGTAAATATAGTATTTATACCTGGAGATGGGCACACCTTTCTATCAGGCCATTGGTGTGGGTAGGGAACAAGTAACTCTTATCAGTAGTTGATCTGGATTTGAGTTTGTTGCTATAGTTACTTTCAGTACATCAGAGATTTCAAATTTCTTCAGTGGTAGAATGCTGCTACTTGGTGCTTAGTGAACAGCCTAGAGTGCCAGAGTTTTTCTTAGTTTTCCTGCTTCATCCTCATCTTTTAGCAGACTTTGCATACTTGTACCATCAGTGGGATCTCTCTCTCTCTCAATGCTTCTCTCCACCCCCTTCAGCCATAGAGATCTGTTGCTTGTTACTTTGTGCAAGTCTTATGGTTTGGGGAGGAAGTGTTTCTCCTCCTCCATCCCAGTCTCATGAAGGCCCTAGGTGTATGAGCTTCAGGAATAGGTCCCCCTGTAGCACTCAGACCCTGCTTTGTATTAATAATTGTGGGAGTCTTAGATGAGAGTGAGTTTCCTGCCCCTCTTTCACTGGCAGCAAACCTCCACTTTGTATCCATGCAGGATCCTGGTCACAAGTGGGTTTCCTGCCCCCCTTGAATAGCAGATGGTTTTTGCTTCAACTCCTTCCCCACTGTAGCCAAACTTTTCCTGAGACCAGGAGATAGGAAGGTTTAGTATCACTCCCCTAGTGGCAGATAGCTGCTGCTACTTCTTCTTCTTCTTCTTCTTCTTCTTCTTCTCCTCCTCCTCCTCTTCTTCCTCCTCCTCCTTCTTTTTTTTGTATGAAAGAAGTACCTGGGTTTCATGTTTCTCTTACAGTGGTAGCTGGTTGTTACCTGCATGTCTGTGTCACCAAAGGGAGGCTCTTTCAGTTCTGCTCTGTCCCCAGTCTTTCTTATGAACACCCAGCCGAGGCCAAAAAGAGCTGGCAAAGAGGGGCCAGACTCCCCTTGCTCCCAAAGTGTCTTAGTCCATTTATGTTGCTATAAAGGAATACCTGTGACTGGGTAATTTATTTAAAAGAGAGGTTTATTTGGCTCACGGTTCTGCAGGCTGTATAAGAAGCATGGCATCAGCATCTGGTGAGAGACTCAGGCTGCTTCCACTCATGGTGGAAGGCGAAGGGGAACCAGCATGTGCAGAGATCACATGGCAGGACAGGAAGCAAGAGAAGAGAGAGAGAGAGAGAG